GGCAGAATTTTTGATTTGGGCACCCGTAGGTATCTGCCATGCCCGGTATTATTATTTATCTACAGAAAATTGTCCAATTGTGTTTTTATTTATTTCATCTCATTCGACGACAACCACTTTGATAAATCGAAAAATATGTTCTTATCTATTTCTAATACAAAATAATACATGCACTTTGTATGTGGAGTGTATAATGACTAAATATGGAAATTATAAAAAGTTATAGATATAGATATAGCTATATGCTAGTGTTATATTATTAACTTTTTAGGTATTTGTTTTTTTTATATATTCTTCAAGAAGATAATAAAACATAACTATAGACAAGTTACATTGTTCTGCTACTTTTCTGGACAAATTTGAACAACAAATTAAAAGTCCTCAGCCCTAATAAACATAGTAGGTATGTAATAACGATATCGTCGTAGCGTCGACCGCAGAATGTTCGGTCGAGCACACTCTCGCGCGCGGTCTATTACAAACTCGATTCCGGAAACTATTCAACAAACTATTTTACGACTTGCTCGTCCTCACCTATCCTTCCAAACGCTAATAATAGTAATAATAATAATAATAATAATTATGTTGTACAGAGGCAAAAGGGTTGAACTCGTCAGCCACGTCAAAGCGTATAAATTGGGACACCGCGATTGCAGAGTATAATATATTATATTATGGCGATATTTTAGAACACGATCGAGTACACCACGTAATTACCCACGTACACACGTGGAAAAACATAGTTTACTTTACGTCCAAAAGTGCACTATATATATGCGGTCGGTCAGTATATTAGATTGCACATATTATATTATACATTAAAATAATAGATTTACGGACTTTTGAAAACGATAAAATATATAGAAGAACATATTATTATTATGGAGCTGATAAAGGCGTGACAAAATATAATTTATATAAAGTGTGCATAAAAAAGATCGGAACCATCGAATAGATATACGGTGGATACATCAGACATCGAATTAAAATTACTAGGTATTAATTGACAACAAGTGAGCAAAAACACCATAAAAATGATTGATTGTGGGACGATAAAGATAGACGAGCCAGCAACAGGACGACTTTTGGAGTCGGAAGTAGACTATTATTATTATTATTACGATGATCGGCCATTATACCTATCGAAAAACTAAATTTACGCCTCACGGTTTGAAAAAAAAAACACGATACAATATTATTATTCATCAAATTAGAAAATTAACGTTCAACTAATTAAACTTGTCATGTATGTGTGTGTATCGAGTAGATGAGAATGTCTGAAATGATAAAACAAAAGCCCGTTGGTTTGGGGCAAGCGGGTCGAGTATTTTTCTGAGCGAGTTCGATGAAAAACCAATTATAATTTCCTTTTGTCTGGGAGTGGGGGGGGGGGGGCATGAAGAATTTAATCGTGCTCTCTTGACTTGGCTGCAGCGAAGTGTTTACATTATATAATATTAACGAAGTAATACAAAAACGTATTTAATAAACGTGTCGTCGTCGTCGTCGTCGTACATTCGGTCACTGTTTCCGCGCGAAACAAAGAAAATAACTCTCGTTCCGGCGGCATTTCTACGAACGTTTTGAATAATTAATTTTTTCCGAATCACGGCAAGCGAATGTAGCGTTTATCATAACTGTATAATATATAGAGTTGGATGCAAACAAAATGGAGAATTTATATTTATATTTAGAGAGAGAGAGAGCGGCTCGCGCGCTGTGTATATACACTTAAAAAATAAACAGTGTTAGAACTGGGAATTATACACACTTTTCCCGTACGCCGTTGAAGCCGCACAATTCAACGGCGACGACGGACGTTAAAAGCCATTTTCGTCACACAGTCGCTTTTAAATTGGAGTAAATAAACACGGCGGCGGACAAAAGACTCAGCCCTACGGTTGCTCCGTAGCGTCACGCTCATTTCTTTGCTATGCAGAGCTACTCTGAGGGATTTCTAACGCTCGCACACGCACACTGCAGCTCAGCTGTATATTATAATAAGTACAATAATAATAATAATAATATACAACGAAAAAAAAAAGATGTAAGGCCCGAGCCGTGAGGCGGTGAGTCGTATACGAGTGGTGGTCTGAGGGGGTGGCGTGATGACGATGGGTGGTTGCGTGAGCGCGTGGTGGTGGCGTCGGCGGGGGTTGCGGCAGAAGGAAATTCGTGCGAACTATGTAAAACCAACAATTGAAATGTTATATTATACCTGACTACATATATATATATGTATATATAATATATATATATATACTTTTATATACCTACGTACTGTAAAGTGTCAAGGGCGGCCGTGTTTCTGAGAAGACATTGTCCCGGGGAGAGAGAGAAAAAAAAAGATGTGGAAAAAGTCAGGTATACATTTTACGTGGAGAATAAAAATCCAAAAAGAAAAACATAAACCAGAGTATAGGTTGTCGAGTGGGGTGTAGAAAACTACGGTAATAATATTATAATAATCATACAATTAATAATATTATTATTAAATATTATATTAAATATTGAAATACGACTTGTTGATCGCAACACGCAAAACAAACAGATCATAGGGGATGGAGTAGGTCAGTATATTATTATACTCTGTCGTTTAAATCATCGAGTCCTCCGCCGGCCAACACACCCAATACTATAGATTGCATTATTCGTGTACAGTAAAAATATCAAAAGGTTTGCTTTGGCGCCCGAGACTCTTTTCGAAACGGTTTTCCCGTATAATACTAACGACCATAGAGCCTCCCCTTTATATGTGGCTTTCCCTTTCTACGCGGCTTTTACGCGCTTACTATAATAATATGTACCAGGTATATACCTAATAATACCAGAAGTACGTCACTGTACGTTTTCGTCACCCTTATTATTATAATTTTAATTGGTAGGTAGTAAGTTTTTTATTCAAACGCACGCTGACAAGATTTTTGAGCTGCCGGTGGCACATGATTATGACGACGAACGAAAATTTAAGTCTCGTCGAGCTCACTAAAAACTTTGTTCTATAAAAAAAAAAAAATAATTCACCGGGTTGTGGTCGTGTTTACGCACTGCGCAGTCGGTAGCATATAATAATATTGTGTTAGGTATTTGCTACTGTAATTAATTATATTAAACGCGTCGTTGTACATATACATATTATATGGGTATATTATATTACATACATATAAATTATAATATTTTACTCGTACTACAGCAGAGAACCGTTGATGTGTTAATGAAAAGCACGATTAATATGTTGCAGGTATAACCCGTGTATCATGATAGGTAAATCATATTATGAGACGCTGACGAGAAAAAAAGGTCCATCAACGCGCTGGGAAAAAAATTCTAAAAATATTAAGGATTCAACTCGTATACGAAAAAAATACCGTACATTTTTTAAACAAAATTTTAATTTATAATAAACTGACTGATTTAAAGATATTTTTTTCATTAAAAATGTAAAAAAATTAACTACATGATAATAATATGATCCATATTTTTCTTATCGGCGTTTCATATAATATAATTTATCAAGTACCTATAATAATATATATACCTATATAATGAGCAACACACACATATTATTATGATTAAATATTTACCGTGTTAATAATAACAATGATTGATATTATATTATATATATATTATTATTATTATTATAAAATGAATAGAAAACACGAAAAACGTTTTTAATAAACCCAACATGCATGCAGTTAAAATAAATATAAACATATAAATAGCAGACGCATCCCGTTTGCCAAAGAGAATAATATATAAATCGTTTGAAGCTCTACCAATATATAAAATATGTAAAGAAACAGCACAAAGAATACAACAAATTAATATGACGGAAAAAAATAACAACAATAGAATAATAATATCAAAACAATACCTGTAATGATAAAAAAAAAAAAACACAATAAATAAAACGGCACACAAATTCCACACGTTTATGCGATGTAATATATTTTTTAATGTCGTTACGTACCACCTAGATTACAATCACCAATCACAGTATAATATGACGTTTCCATACAATATATATATATATATGTATCACGTGAAATAATTTATGCAATTATTACAATATAACATATAATAATAATATTATGGCATGCTAAACATTGTGTATATTTGAATAATGCAATTCGTTGTATGCGCTTTGCGGGGGACGACACACGCGAGAATCGCAATCATGAACACACCGCGACGTGCACAGTATTTAGGTTTAAATAGTTTACTAAACATTTACACTATATTGGACTTGTGTTTGTGTTCACGGCGAACGTGGCGATTTTTTTACCGTTGGTTCGTTAAGGCGACTTTGGCGTTAATTAGAAACGGTAAATAACGCGATACCGTGGTACTATATATATATACCGCTGATAAACACACCGTCGAAACACGGTATATAGGTATAGAGGTACCTGCGAGGGCGAACGATCTCTTTTGGAATATACGATTAAGCTGTACCTATACTAATTGGTTGCTGTACGATATCGCGTACAGTCGAAAACGTACCTACTTATTAGCTGTTTGCATTGCGACTGCTTGGAAAATAAACGAAAACGTTTTAAAAGATTATATTATAGAGAAAAAAAAAGTTTCAACGGATTTTGAGCGCTTTCTCGAAGTAAAAACGCAACTGCGTATATTATTATATTATATGTTATATACTTACATTAATTAAAAACGAAAGTTTGAACTTTTAATTAAATCGTACATGGAAACGTTTTTAATTAGGAGCATTTTATTATTGTATACTAGGTATATACTTAAACGAACTGCGATGCTCCGCGGACATCCGTCTCCGGTTTATATATTATATACAGAGTGTTCGAGATCGTAAATATATTATAAATACGAGACGAGAGCAGAAACGTTTTAGTATCGCAAATTCAGTAAGATATCACCGCAAAGCGAACTGTTCGTTTCGTCATCGCGTACAAGTGAAATATATTATGTTTTGTTTTTTAAATATTATTTTATCATAATTATTGTTATCATCGGGTACTCACCGGTCGCAGTCTTGAAGACGAGTTCTGACTGTACGCTAAATCCAATTTCGTTGTGGGCTCTGACTTCCACTCTGTAAAACGTGTCAGCGTTTAGATTGTCCATCAAAAACGCAGTCTTGTCCGGAGACTTGAGGTCCTCGCTCCGGCACGATTCCGTTCTGGTTACCCACATCGTGTTTACCTTGTCGGCCTGAAACACGAAACAGCAGAGGGTGACGAAACGACGACGAAAAATATAATGGTTAGTTTGGGTAGTAGAAGTATATCGTTTTACGACCAAAAAAAAAACGTATGTAGGTTGAGCGTATTCTATACAACCAAAAAAGAATTAGTGAAAATAAAAAATGAGCAGAATGGAGTGGCACAGCTATGTAGGGATCGTATCCCGCAAAATGATTGTGTTCATCAACACTTTCAAATACTATCATAACCAATCAACTACTAGAAACTGCTTCTGATTTAAAATTAAAATGTAAATGCTGTCGCATAAAAAAGAAAATAAAACTTAAAAATGGTAGTAATAAAAAGAATAGCAATTAAAAGGGTTGTTTTCCATGTGATGTCTTGTAATTTATTTATTTTAATATTTCCAAGAACGTTAATATACATATCGAGGTAATGAGTGGTTAGCCTTTAAGACAATAACCCTGCAGCGACATAAATGAGTGGGTCGTCGTATCAAATTATAGCTAACTTATGTCTACCTGCAGGGGTGATGCGTAGGTAGGTACACGTTTTCATATTCCGATTTAAATTTACAAATCAAACAAGTAAAATTATCGATGGACATTTTTTTATCAATTTAAAATCTGGGGAAGGCTAAATGTAACGCGGACCTACGCCTTATTCATAACTATGTTATATGTATATTATATTTACTTACCACGCAATAACGAACGTTGTAAAGGTTTATGGGCTCCCCGTTGTCGGCCGGTATCTTCCAGTTCACTTCGTAGCTGTTGCCGTACGGCGAGTTGATGTAATCATCGGTGTACACGTCCTTGTTGACCAATATTTTTGGTTCCTCAGGAGCGCTTCTTTTGGGCATGGTGCGCTGTTCCGAGGGACTCCAGTCGCTGGTACCCACGTCGTTGATGGCGGCGAACCTGAACGTATAGGTCCTGTGAGCTTCCAGGTTTTCCAGTATGTAAGGCGTGTCTAATTTAACGAGCATAATAATAAAATGTTATTTTTTCCGTACACATTTATTAGAAGAATTTTTACAATGTATATTATGGGTGCAATAAGAAAAACTGATGGAAAAATTGATTTACATACTATAATGACATTCTAATATAATCAGTTCCAAATTTCGTAATATCTGGTGCATTTGACACCTGTAGGCACATTCCTAAACCCTCCACTTCATATAGATAGTACTAAAATTGGTTTCTATGTACGAATTGCATTTTCATTTTTTTCAAAAAAAGTTCAATAAAATTGAACCATTCAAACAATAGTTATAATATTAATTTAAATACTGTTAATAAAATACATAATATCGACAATAAGCAAAGAGACTGCATCATTAATATTTAAACAAAATTTATCATATTTAAGAGATTTTGATTTGTTTTTCTATGAAGTTATATCGGCAATACATTGGACTTTTGCTTCTATTTATGATAATAACACGAAATTGAATTTTGTTGATTATAAAACATTGTCTCTGCACAAATTGTGTTCAACGAAGGTGACTATACAATTAAAATGTAAGCATATAAGCAACTGCTTTGACCGTACCTATAATTACGAAACACATATGACCTGAGTAAAGGTTGCATATATATTATGCACAGTGTATGTGCCGGGTCATGACTTATGTTATTTTGTAAGAATTTCTGCAAAGACAATTTCACGTTGTCTATATAATACAACATCGTTTTACGCGCCTTTTCGAATTAAACATATTATAAAATTACGATCGTCTAAATTATGTCATTATTGCGGAAAACCGACCGCGCTCCCCTCCTCGTATCAGCTTGGGAGAAGCTGAGCTTCCCATCCCACCCAGACAGACCATTTAGCCTATTCGAGCTATAAATTGCGTGTTGCAGTTAGTACTTACCCACTGGCCATGATTTGTTGCGACCTTCATCCCACGACTGCTTTACCTCCTTGTACTGGACGGCATAGGCTTTGACTTTGATGCCACCCGTGTCTGTCGGACCCACGAAACCAAACGAAATCGTCGTAGCTGAAAAGGACACATAATATAGATCAGTAAACATGAAATCGGTATTATCAGGTAACTGCAAGGCGAACTTTCGGGCGAACGTTTACTGAGTATAATTAATACTTTAAGAGGACGCGGAGCCAAACACGCCTCCTTATAAATTGTTTTTAAACACAGTTATGTAGGCACGAGTTTAAGTGGTTACTCGGGTATTACATTTCTTATAGCCAAGCAACCAAATTGTCACGAGGACATTTTGACTGTTCGATATAGTTTTTGTTTTATGGATATAACTTGTACGATAAAAAAAAAGTTATTATTGTTTTAAATCCATTATTTTTATATTTTTCAAACTCGAACAACTTTTTTCACGTTATAGCAGCCGCAGTAGATATTGAAAAAAAAAAAAACAAAAACGTTATTGCACAGTGAAAGTTCCCCTCCTAAAGCCTTAAATGTAACAATTTGGTTTCACATATTTTGGTTTTGTAATTTTGTTTATATGTATAGCTTGTTTGATTCTTTTCCGCGATAGTACGTTTTCTTATAAATATTATTTTGTGATCACGTAACAATAATAAAAATTAATGTTCAGAGGGATACTGCACTTGTTAAATTATAGGTACAAGTATTCATTTAATATGGTTGAAATATGGAATAAAAATATGACAAGACAACGAAATGTATATCTACAAATAAATTGATGCCAATACAATTTCCAAACTGCAGCCTGTCACATTAAGTAAAAAGCATCTAATAATTGTAAAATATATCTAGTGAAAAAATGAATGTTAATTTTTATGATAATGTAAATCATTTTTATTGTTTGTACTCTCAAATAAATCGATAACTTTTTAAAATTTTTTTTGTTCAAAACAAAATCACTGGTTTTATGGATTTGAAATTATCAGAGTTATAATAATATGACGAGGGAATTACATTAGTCTTCACATTACTTATTGGTCTGAATAAATCACAAAACATTTTAAAAAATGTGCATTATACTTGAATTATTTTAAGTAAAAGAATGTATCATTTATATCCATATTATTTCATGGACAGCGCAATATTTATCGAATTTGTTAAAGAACGCTACAAAATAGACATACCAATAATTACCTATTATACATTCTTTTGAAATGTCGTTAAAATTACATGTTCATTTTTCAGGCCCGTTAAAAAGTGCCAAGATGATTGCAGGAGTGATTATAAATTCCACCGATTTTATACCTTTTTATATGTAAATATTCCTCTGTCACGATTATTTAGCACCTAAAAAAAACATGTTAACACCGCCGGTACAAAAACGCCACCCCAAATTTATTTTTTTCTCAACAGCTTAATATTTATTGTTTGTATTTTAAAATTTTAAGTTACCTACAAGTTACAACTAAATTTTGTTAAAATGACACGTCGTTTACCTTACCACTTTAATGCCAAAATTAATTAAGCGACGCATTGAATATGTGACAAACTAGCATTTTAGTGGCTCGAATGTTTGATTTTTTATTATTATCATAATATGAACGTACTACTTATATTAGTAAATATAGTAATCTGCGAAGAATAAGCGTATAAAATGTAATAGTATAAGTTTATACATATTATAATATTATGCATAGTCGGAAATTCAATAAAATGTCAGGGGGAGGACTAACATTTTTAACATAAATGTGAGGGAGGGAGGACTTCGATCATACACAAATAAAAATCTGTCTATGTTTGGGTGGGGGCTAACGGAATATTTTGGAGGGCTAATAGCCACCCCTTTCCCAGATTTCTGTCAATTCCGCAACTATACACCCGATCAATAATCATAGTTGGATACAATTGATTGTACGTATACCTGCATGTACATAATTGTGAATAAACAATTTTCCAATGTAAGATCCTATGGTTTTCTAATTTTCAACGAAATTATTGGGATTTACTTTACCTACGTATTTTCGTAGGTCGTAAAAACGTACCGGCGGAATTCATGTATATATGGACGTCATAATAATTTATAATATTACAGGTCCGACCTTAAAATCGGTGGAATTCACATGATATTTTCTGCAAACATCGTTAGCAGGATCGATCGGCGTGCAGGACAGAAATTAGGAAAATAGAAAAATAGAAATTCGTTAGGACTTACCGGTGACCACGTCGAACTTGGCCTGTGACACTTTGGACGGTCGGTGAGCCTCCCGGAGAGTGATTTGAGCGTTGTTCTCGCCGTGAATGTTTTTGGTCAGGCACGAGTACACGCCGTAGTAGCGCTGATCGACAGGTGTCACCAGCAGGTTGCTGTAAGGGCCCTTTCCGAACTTTTGCACGTTGATGTCGTCCTCCACTATACGGTTGTTCAAAAGCCACGTGATGGAGGCGTTCGGCAGCGATTCGGACACGCACGACAGGTTCACAGGCATCCGGTTCCACGTCCACACCTCCTTAACCATGTTGCTGGCGTACACTGGCGGGAACTCGACGGTCAGATGACCGTTTTTCATCCCTTCGCCGCCCTGAGACGAGATAAAAACGTTTTTTATTTTCAAAATAAATGCATTTAATGTAATAGCGAAACGTGATTACAGGTGGAAATGCTCACTCCAATTTTATCTTTTATAGGTAACAACAAAGTTATGAAAATTCCAATTTAAGAATTTGTCTATAGAATAGCATTACGTCTTAAACACCAAATTATTTTATAATATCTACTTAGAATGTTGATATTATGTTCTGTGTCAATACAAACTTCTTCTTTTCAAATGTGAACCATTATTTACTAAGAATCATTATAAGCAGATGATTTTTTTTAATGTTTATATAAGTATAAATCAAAATTCAAACTAGTAGTTTCCAAGTTATTTATTTGTGTATAAAATATATTGTATATGATAATAGGTTTAAATATATGGGAGACTAAATGATGATTTAAACAATTATAGTCATTATTAATAAAAAATAATATATCAACATTTTATAATTTGTCAAAATGTTCTAACTAACTAGTATATAACTAGTCTAAATATAGATATAGACTAGACTAAATATTTTGTCTGTTTTATATTTTATGTGAAACTACGTTTAAACATTATAATATACTCTTTACAGTATGCACAAAGTTGTATAACTCAGAATCCACTCGTTGGAATTATAATTTGCAGATTAAAATTTAAAAAAAAAAACCATCTTCTTTGCACTTTCCGTGAAAGATGATAATAATATATTCCTCGTAAATAAAAATATTGTATCGACAAAGGACACTCCTTGGAACTGAATAAATATAACTGTAAGAAAATATTATCTTCAAGTACCTATAGTATATACTTAAAAATTCCAGTAATCAGAATTAAAATAAATTCATTATTATTTAATAACGAAAAAACGAGGGTATGCTTATTAGTTATTGTGAATCGGACTGTTATAGTTACACTTACAATATAATATTATAATTATAGTTATAATAAATAGCTCGATGGCGTTATATACAATTATTTGTCAAAAGTGGTGTGAAGAGGGGGGCGTTTCGGGGATGATTTTTTAGGATGATAGTCACCTGTGCCCCTGCCCCCTCGTATCATCGAACTGATTCCATCATCAAAGTTGCAAAAAAAAAATAAAACACACATTGAATTCACAGCCCAAAAGTCCTATCATTTAAAAATATTATAATATCAGATAGTCATGGGCGGCGAGTTTGCTAAATGTCACGGGTCACTTCGATCGCTTCTATAACACAGCAGTGTTCGAAACTAGGGTGGCGGCTTACAATCGTTATATGTATATTATAATATTAATTATAGTTCTATGGGGTCGTATAAACAACAATATATTCAGATATCGATCAGTTCGCCTTCGACTAGGTAGTGTTTGTGTGTGTGTTTCTTATCTCTTGTATATAATATACGGAGTGATCCATTTAACACACTCATCATCATTTCAGGAGACACGAAATTTTTCACTCCTAAGCAGAATATTATTCCGAGTAATTAGATCTATAAAAATTAAATTTTCGACAATAATTTATTAGTTATAACTAATATAATAGTATTTAAAGCTTGAATGCGCTGAATAGTCAACCGAAATTTTGCAGTGTACACCTACTGTACAACTTCACTCCGCTCATCTATAAACACTTGTATAGACTAGTATAATAATACTTATAATAATCCATAAGCTACTAGTCCAAAATTCGATTTGTATATTAAATAGGTACATTGAAGTGCTCTGAAAAATATTCTGCTTAGGAATACAAAATTAAAAATGTATGTTGTCATTCAAAACAGTAAATATTTGAAAGACGATAACGATAAAAAAAATAGTACAAACTCGAATTTTTTTTTAAAACATTTTTTTTAACGACTTAAAATTTTAAACATTTTTTCATTTTTTCAAGATAATATAGTTCTTGAAATAATGAATATCTTGCGTTAAATGGAACACCCGGTATATATATAACCATCCCCAGTATTAGACAATATGTTATTACAGTTTAATGGCTTTTGGGTCGTTGGATTCGTTTAGCAGATGATAATTGACATGCCACCGTCAACCGAACCGTAGATAAGTGCCTATAATAGTAAATAATAATAATTCAAAAGTCGCATATGTAGTACATACCTTGTTCGACGCGATGCACGTGTACAGTCCGTCGTCGGATCGGTTCAGGTGTTTAATCACAAGAGTGGCCATTGCCAAGTCCCCCACGGTGTCGTGCTCCACGCTAATGCGATAATCTTCGATTCCCGATTTTATGACGACGTTCGTGCCCACTCTCCTGTAATTAAATATCACAAAGTTTGGGTCAGCAATATTGTTATTATAATAATATATAATATACGCATACACCGCTGTTATAGCGGTATTATATACCATTTCAGCCGATATTGTTATTATTATTCGTTAGTAAATTATTATCACCACAATGGCCTTTGGAGAATATATCGATGGCGTAGCGCACAAGTGTGATAAGTGACATTTTTTTGAAAAATGAGTTAAGTGCATAATCAATTTAATCATACAATTCTGCACATTATGCCCAAACGTTGTAAGTGAATAGTTCATTATTTACTCCGATAGATGTCGTACAGTTCGTTACATTTTTTGAATTTGTTATGACATCTCAAACTTAAAAATCGCTCTCCTGAACAATTACGAAAATGTCACTTATCACACTTGTGCGCTACGCCATCGATATACAACAGACATATATTACGTATTCATTATGATCGCGCGGTATACCATCATCAAAACGATATCGATAGAGAGATATACGTAGAGAACTTTTTTTATTTACGACGCGCATATTATATTTACGAAGACACAGGTATATAGACGCGTCTGTGTCTTCTTTGTATATTATATTATTATTATTCAGTGTTTGTACAACGCATATATTATATTATGATCGTGGTGGTCTTTAATAACTCCTCGACACGTTTCAAAATATTGTATTGACTTTTATACAGTGTATATATAATATTATATCGTATATACCAGGGGTGGTCAAACTTGTTTTGATTGAGGTCTACTGAGGGTATATTTTATTCTTCTAGGATCGACTAATGTAAAAAAATTATTTAATATTAATAATAAACATACTTATATAAATAATAAAATTAAAGTGTTAAGTTATCTAAAATGAGTGTTGCATGTTAAATTTTTAAGTAATTTTAAAATGTATTAACATTTATTGTTGATGTAGAAGCGTGTCATTGCACATCATGACCAAGCGAAGACGCTGTGCTAAAGTCTAAAACTAACCTACTCAGCTACTTTAAATTATAACTTTCATGTGAGAAAATGCCATTTCACACTAACAGGTTAATCCGAAACATATTATGTATTCAATAAGTGTATCTACTAAATTGCAAATATATAAGAATAATTAATAAATTCTAACAATGGGGATCGACTTAGAAATCGGCCAAGATCGACCAGTCGATCACGATCGACTGTTTGGCCACCCCTGGTATATACCCATGTAATAGCAGACTCGAAGTAGTTAAAAATTCCAATGTGCCCGAACAAAAAAGTCAAACGGCAGTAGGTATATATATACTGCTACAGCAATGACTACTTTATCTTTTGGCTTATTTCCGTGGTACAGCATTTTATATTTTTCCCCCCTCAAACTTTAAATGGTTATAGTTTATAAATCTGTTTTTATTATTATTATTTTTTTTTTTTTTAAATTGGGTTGTGACACATTCATAACGTAAAAAATGGACGCTCTATTTGAAAAAAAAAAAAAATGTTTTTTGTTTTGTTTTAAATTTACAGCAACATCAAAATGTAAAAGTTTCTCGTTTATTGCGCGATTTACAAGCAAAGTATTACCGAGTTAATCTTAGCAACGTTATTTATACTAAAAGTTATGATCAAATTAAATTAAATTATAACTGTATTTAAAGACATTAATATAAACACGCTGAAGCGCGTCTTGTAGTTGTAGGTAATACCTAAGATTTTTTTTGTGCACTGAATGTTTGATGTATGTTTTGATCGCGATTAGATTCGGAGTACGTTCGCTAAATCACAATACAGTTTTGTTTGTTTGTTAAGGATAACAATTTTTTTTCAGCATTGTGAGAATGTCATTAAAATTGTACAATATGAAATATTATCTGAAATAAACGCGTGCACATTTAATTATCGATATCATGATTTAGTACTTTTATTGGGATCAATACCGACCGTTTTTTGTGACAAAACATGACTTACAGACTACCTATACATTATAATATATGATATATATTATATTGTGTATCGTACAGACAAAAACTATGGTGGCGAGATAAATAATATGAAAACATTATTGGAATTTTAGATTGATCAACCGAGTTAGGTACTTTATCCAATTTTCCTTCTTGTTTTCCACTTAAATTTAATTTGAAAATGTAAAATTTGAAAAACTAATTTAAACATTAATCATAATATATCGAAAATAAATGGGATGGTCGACCTCAAGTAAAATTTATAAAAACTTTAAACATGTTTTTATATTTATTATCGGATTTTAATAGTTTTGTTGGTATACGATGGACAAAAACATGCTTTTTAGTGAAAAATATTACTATTGTCTACCTATTCGTAACATGTGTGTGCAAGTCTTACATAGGTTAATCCATCTCTTTTACATTACTGACACACACACACTAAATAATTACCACTTACTTCACACAGCATATTTATACGAAACGCACTTAGAAAATTGGTGATATTGAACTCCTTTAAAACGGTTATATCGATATTGAATTAGGACAAAAGACAACATTATTCATTGTATTTGTTATTTTTTTTTAGACAGAATTTATAGACACGACGAATAATACTATATTGACATACTTTTATAATATAGGTCCATAATAAAGAAACATTATATTATAATATTATGTTAACATTGTATTATATTAATTCTGGATGTAATTTTCATTAAACGGTACATTTATAATTTTTGAGACCGAATACAATACTAAGAGATTCAATAGTACCTACCTATATAGAGTGTAACAGGAAGACCAGACAAAAAAAAAATTATGCTGCTTAAACATATGATAAAAATTGTAAAAATTATATGGTTAAGAAATATACTACTCATGTCAGGAAATTCCTAAAAATAATATTTTGAAAAAAATTATTATGATCTAAATTAATTTACTCAAAAAATAAATTACTTGATTTAAATAAATGTTTTTACCGTGTAATTTTTTTTTACAATCAGATACAAGTTGGATCTTTTTATTTTTTTTTTTTTTATATTATACAAGCATAGTGCAAGTGATGAATATAAATTATATTTACAAATATTGATTAAATCAAAAGTTATTTCATCTGTCAGGTCATCCTGCCGTTACAATTCTATGTATAGGCAATATCGCGCCACTTTAATATTTTAACAATAATTTCATTTTAAATAAAACATAATGTGAGCGCATATATTTTAAAGGTATAATAGTACCTATTGTAATGATCATTCATCTACGCGTAATTGCATTACATTGCAACGATCTTTAAAACACATTATAACACATTTTCCTCCAAGTGCCCGATCGTCTCGTAATAGCGTTTCGCTCATTGTAACAACCTAATTAAAAACTTTAACGATTAATATTATTATTATTTTACTGATTATTCGAAACGCAGTATATACGGAGGAGATCGCTTATTGTGTAACGTGTATATAATACCCAGCGAAGTCGGTAGCGTTTCCGATGTTTTCAGACGGGAAATTACTTGTTGTGGTCGTCGAAGTTCTCGCGTACACCGTTAAACTTAGGTACAACCCCCGCAGCAGTGGCGTACTAACTAGTAATTAAAACAGTCAAAAGTTCCAACTAACCATATAATATTCTCGAATTGTAATCGAATTAAACGAACACGCACACCTACGTGCGACTTGACCATAATATAATATTAAACCTAACCATAATATAAAACTTCTCCTGCAGGTATATAATTGCAGGTAGACGGTATATGGACGTATTAACAGTGAGTTAATCACGATGATTATATTTTCTCGGTTATACTCGACCGCTAAACAAAACATAATATAACATAACGCATAGGACGCCGCGGGATCGCGATATCATAATATAATATATCGTGGCGATATTATTATACTGCGGTTGTGGTACAAGGTAAAAAGAATAATAACTACCAAAGATATTATATTAACTGCGGGCGAGTATACCTAGGTATGTTTTTATTTTGTTTTCTGGTTATTCGCACCCGGTGGTTCGTTGCAGGGGCGTCCTTGTGTAGGGGGAAGGGGGCGATCGCCCCTTCCGTAAGGTGACCGACTTACATAGTAATTATTGGTAAATTTTACAATTTTTATTAAATTATTTGACATTTTTTTTTTCATATGAAATTATAATATAATATGAAATTTCATAATATTATCTTGTTATCAAAACACGTATTCGCGGTCATAGAATTAATTTTTTATTATTTCAATTCCCCCCCCCACCCATGGCCAAGGTCTGGAGACGCCTCTGGTTCGTTGGCGGGGCGATTTCGTGAAATGCCTACGTACAACACAGAACGAAATATTAAATCTGAACACGACAAAAACACAATAATATTATTTTAAACGGATACGTTTTTACTGCTGAAAACTATACACACGACATAATACGTATAGGTATAAAGTGCACCGATTACGAGTAAAAGAAAATGCACACGAGTCGTGTGGAAAAACTAAGGAAAAGGGGTCAGTGATGGGGAGGGGGTGTTGCGGTGTATTTATTTCAGTTGTTTGCAGTGGACGTTCGGAATCACGTGCGTATATTATAACGTTATAATATTATATATAGAAACCAGACAACCGTGAAATGAAAAATCTATAGAACAGGACGATTTTTATTCACCAACATGGCCGGTATAAATACCAGCACAAAGACTTAGGGCCTATTATTATGCGATTGCGTAACCACTCCAAAGTCTGTCGCTAATAATAAAGTCTATATTTTAACAATATACCTCGCAAAACATATGTACGTATATGTATATGAATTGAACTTACACACTCATGGATGCATTTTTTCAAATAGTTTACAATATAAAATTACTGTGGTTGACACGAGGACGTCTAGCCGGTGTTTTTTTTAAGAGGAATACTAATAATATGGACATTTTAACAATTAATATTATCCCGATTTCATTTTAAATTAAATTAAATTTCAAAAACATCCTATATCATTGCTGATGTTGCAGGTAGTCACGTAATCCGAAATAACTGTATAATAGTAAATTAATTTAAAGAATGGCCTCACGCACGTCCATAATTTGTTTCATAAAACCGTTTCACGCTGTAGGCTATATATGCACCTATTGTAGTCCTAGTTGAAACCAAATTTTAACCATTTTTTTTTTTTTTAGAAAATATTTATAAATTTATTTTTACAACAAGCACAGATTATATATGCGTATACCGTGTGTAACAGAAAGAACTGACCAAAAAAAAAAAAAAAATTATGCTACTTAAATGTATGACAAAAATTGTTGAAATTATATGATTAGTAAATAGTTTTAAGAATATACCCATGTTATAAAATTTCCAAAAATAATATTTTTAAAAAAGCTATTGCGTTCCAAATTTATTTTATCAAAAAAATATTGATATTTAAAAAAATTCTAAAAAATAAACTACTATAGACTTAGATAAATGTTTTTACCATCCAAATCGTTCTTAAAATCAGATTCACAAGTTTGCTATTTTGAATTTATTCAAAAAAATTTAAGTCAAATTTAAAATTTTTTATTTTAAGTATAAAAAAATAAAAATAATTTTTTTCCTCTTACACGTGTAGAGCAAGTGGCTATAAATTATATATAAAAAAAAAATTAAAAATAATGATCAGAACAAAAGTTATTCCAAAAGTCAGTTCTATCTGTTACACCCTGTATATATACGATTTGTAGAGAATAAAGTAAAATAAAACAAATAAGCTAAAAATTGTATAAATACTCAGGACACCGAGTACTCGGGTAAAGGTGTCATCCATTTATAGAACTTCATGACACGGAGCGTGGAATTTATAGTCAATCAGTAAGTCACGTCGCCACGTAGGAAGGGGGGAGAAGTTGGTGTAAACAGCATTAAATAACCAGTAAAAGTGATCATCAAAAAAGTAAGGCGATATTGCTCCAGCAAACTTTTCTTTTTTTTAATGAGAAAAATTTGGTTTCTGAACTATATAATAATATAGTTGTGGCCTTTTTGGTTCTTTCCCGAAACTTTTTCTATACGATCTCGTAATTACACAACGACCAAGAATGGTACTGGCAAGGGATGTAAGCACGAATGTAAGATACAATATAATATTAAAGATTATTACATTTAAATTTACAATGTAATAATGTCATTAAAATTGCCTATATAAAACCCCTTACAAAGTTGATGAGTAGCGTGATCGACATTCATGTTTGTTGAAGCTAATAAACCACATGAAAGATAACAACATTTGAGCATCTCATATCAGGATTACAATACGTCGATATATACTTTGTGGTACATAATTTTCAAAATTCATTAAACTTTTTTTTTTAATTATTATTAATAATAATTTATTTGTTTTATTTATTATTTTTGTGACTTGTCATAATCGTATTTCAAAAAAAATTACATCCACAATATGCATTCCAAAATGTTTAGTCATCTTTCATTTTCATAACAGGCTGTTCGCAAACGTATCTGTGATTAATAAAAGGTGCAGCCGATCTGCAGGACCAACCAATAACCAGCCAACCCAATGTATCCAAATATGCACCAACATAAAAAAAAGTCGGTTAGACGTCCTCGAGAGTTATAAAAATCCAAAACCAATATCCTGGATATCCTGGATCAAAAACCGGAAATGTCCGGCGAAATCTCACCTGAACGTGATCGACGGCAGAGGGTTGCCGTTTGCAGAGCATTTGACTCTGGCCTCGGTGTTGATGGGTACCGAAACATTGGTCACGTCCAGCACCTCGGGTTTGATGAGCACGACCACGTTGACCAACCGCTCGATCTGACCGGCCGCGTTGCTGGCCACGCACTTGAACTGACCGTTGTCGGTGCGGCTGATGCGGTTCAGGCTCAACACGCCCGTCAGCTTGTTCACGGAATACCTCTCGGTCCCCTCGCTCAAGTCCCGCTGGTCCGGCATGTGTATCCAAGTCACCTTGGGTTCCGGTTTACCGTTGGCCGCGCACCGCACGCTGGCCATCTCGCCCTCGACGACTTCCAGCTTGGAAACTTGATCGGGTGCAAACGTCGGCGGGATGTGAACCTATAAGGGCGAAAAATGAAATGGGAAAAATATTAGTCATGATATTATTGTGTATATACTCGTTAGTCATGGACTGATATGGAGTTCATTTTCAAAAAAACTCGGTTCGACCATCACCCACCCAGCCCCTATATGCAAAAGTATATATTTTATCAATTAATTTCACTCAGCCATACACCCGTGCGTAACTTTTGGCACTGCCCAAGTACAAAAAGCACTGCCTTGTGTACTCGCGACGCCACTACATTAGTTAGTATGGATTACATTAATATGAATGAAAATCATTTTTTTTTTTATATAATATGATTATTGTGTAAAAAAAAAAAAAGAGTACGCAAGAATTCGAACAAAGGTACTATTCCTTTTAAAAAAGGAACCTTCCGAGCATTGCTTACTGAGTTACTATTTACTCTAGGAGTGCGTCACCGGTGTTTGTATTCGGGACGCGCAAAACGGTTTCGCGAAGTTCTTTAAAAAGCAAACAGTAAATTTTAGACGAAAGCGTTTTATTTTTCTTGAAAGATTTCGATGACGAATATAATATAGAATTACAGCACTCACCTCGACTCTGATGTCCCGGTCCTGGATGTTACCCGTGTCCAAAACGATGGCACGGCACTTGTACAGACCATCATCTTCGGCGGTGACGTTTTGGATCAGCAGACCGTCGATGTCCTTGACGAATCCGTTGCCGTCCTGAATCCTGGTGTCTTCCTTGTACCAGTCGACCAGTGGCGCGGGATTGGCCTTGACTTTACAGCGTACTTTGTAACTAGTCCCGGCTATCGGATATTGTTCGGTAGGAGCGTCCACCCACGTGATGTCGTCTTTACAGAAGAAGAAAAACAATATAACAACAATGACAGTAAATAGGTACTATACGCATTGCGCGATAGATGTCGACGACTTACAGAAACTGTCGACGATCACACTGCGGACCAGATATTCAGAATTGGAATAAGTGGCGGTGCACGTGTACGTGCCCACATCAGCTTCGGTGAGTCCAGTTATCACCAGCCCCAAATTGTTGCTGGAAGTAAACGTGGTGGTCACGTGCGCTCCGGCGGTCCTGCAACGGCACAAATCGAACGTCAATATAATATTATTATAATGTGCGTATTATTATACGTATAGATAAAAACGCCGATATATTATATTGCCTAATATACGCGTCTGATGATGTTTTAATTGCGGCTGCAGACGACCGTATCGATTTCGCGATATTGGGGCGGAAAATAGTAATAAAATCGTGTTATATTGTATCGTCGGGGCACACACGTGTTGTTTATTGTGTTTTATATTGTTATATATCGGCTGCGGCTTCCGCCCTCCAGCGAGTTAGCATCGAATTATACACATCCACTGGGAATTAGTTTTACCGGAATTCGAGTAAGTACGAGTCACTATACGGTCTACGAGAGAGATAAAAATGTAGACGCTGCCACGCTACATCTTCGTAAAATTATGCGTATATTGAATACTGCGTGGAACAAAATGGGTACATGACGGTTTTTGGTAGTTGTAATGATACAAATAGATAACTACCGCAGCAGAGCAAATTGATTATAATTATAATGATATAGTTATAATACTTAACACAGTTTTGGCTATATCGCGATAATGTAACGCATTAACAACTAATGGTGCTTGGTGAGGTGCGGTGGTTAGCCGCAGTCACTAATGTACGCTGAGGTCAAGCATCGTGAGGCGTCGCAAACTCCTAGATGGGTAACCACCCGGGTTCTTATTGTGAAGAATCCTCGCCTCCACATTAACGAGTGTTCCTAAAAACCAACCGTAACCCCCACAAAATCCTAATGACCATAGCTGTCAATATTTAAAAAAAAAACAGCTACGGAGGAATAGTATCAATGTATAGTATCGCCACAATTTCAAAGAAAAAACTGGGGGCTTCGAGCCCCTTTATTTTTTCAGTTGGTCTTATGACCCTGGATTAAGCAATTTCGACACCCCAAACCCCGAATCCTCTTCGAATAATCGGATTATATTTAATATATAAAAGTGTTTTACGGTAATCAAAGACCCAGAATCGAAACTGAAGGAGCTAAGCACACCCATCAGCACCCCCCTCCCAAATTGCGTCAAAGGTTATAATATGCAAACACACATTATATACACGGCGTTGTAGTCAACAATCTACTTACGAGGTCTGATCGATCGTCCTGTTCTGCGGATCCAGCCATTTGAGATACTTTATGAGTTCTGGTTGTTCGACGTCGGGCTGGCAGTTCAATATCAAAGACGAGCCAATCGGTTTAACCTGTTTCGGCTGTGTCGGTCGGATGATCAGCGAAGGTTCTTTGATCGTGGCGTCTGCAAAAAAAAAAAAATAATAACACACGATTACATATAGGATATAGAACAGATATAGTGATTCGCAATCGCAGCGGAAATTCATTAATTATTACTGCGCACGTCGTCACAAAGGGATAAGAGAGTTCTGTGCCGTGGGGATCATCGATTCTCTTACTGCAGTTTTCTTGGTTGACCTTTTCCGAGTCGCTAATGGATTTCGTTTTCTTTTCTACAACACTATATTATACGGCGAGATTTCGATTTCGATTCAATACACTACCGACGCCGCACAAACACATCCGCCCACATACATCACACACAATATATACGTACAATATAATATATTATTTTATTCCAATGCACCCCCTCGCAAAACACGGTTATGACTTTGATATTAAAATTTTGTTTTTTTTTTTTTCACAAAGTCGATATACATATGACGCGTATGTGTATAGAAAATCTATTGTATACTTTTTTTTACTGTCTGCAAACATGTACTACCTCCATACACAATACACATATGCGTATGGAACGTGTGTGTCGGTGGCGTAATAGAACTCGAAAAATCCGACGAACGACGGGTGGAATGAAAATAAAAACGTAATCGAATGGCGTGCACCCCGCGAACTCAGGTCTATAATATATGCGAAAATACATCCCAATATTATATTATAATAATATAACTGCTGCGTAATGTGTAACTAATCCATTATAATGCATAGTAGCTGGTTTATATAATTCATTTAAAATTAGAACGTACACATCCGTTTTAAATTTCGACTACAACAACACAACAACTGCACGTACATATAGGTATTATTAATGTATTATTATATTATTGTGATATTCGTGGTAAAATAATAAAGCGTCGAGCGGAAAAACAAAATCTGGTTGTTATTTCACCGCAAAACTACTGTTGTGTAGCATATATATATATATTATATTAAAATAATAACATGCGCGTACTTCGCGGCAGATGCTAAAACGCGTACAAGCGAATTAAAATTCTGATCCAGACAACCCTCGCCCCAACAACCAATCCCTGAATTGAATAATAATAATAATAATAATATATAACAATAACGAAAAGTAAAAAAAAAAAGATCGTTTAACAAATGACCGCGAAACGGTTTTGGTTTGCGTGAAAAAATAAATCCGCCGAAGCCATAAAAATATAATAATATTATAATCTCCATTAATATATTTACTTGCATGTTTGAATCGTTTCAGTTATCATCGAGATAAACTATGTACTTATACTATAGTAATAATGTTAATAATATGGACCCATTACAGCGCATTGTGTTTCGTGTTGCATTTTTCGACTGATTAGTTTCATTTTTTATTATATGCGTATAAGTATAACAGGTGGCTGTGACTATGTGATTCCACTTATTTGCATCTTTATATTTCTTATGAGTAATAATACAATATGATACTATATAAATGCCAAGTCATCTTCGAGTTTTATTTTATGAATTTATGGTTTTGTATAAGAGTCGAATCGTACGTCATAAGCGTATAATAATATGAATTTATATTATCCGTGTGGTAACAAAACAATAATTGTTTGTATTTTGTGCTAATCGGGAATACATATTATAATTTCATAATTCCAGTCAAAAAATCATGGTTTTTTCAAACAGTTGTAACTTTTTCGGTAAGTATTTTAAAAACAGACTTGTCACATATTATCTCATGTGCTTTTCCTCTGAAACCACCGTATGGGACGCGTTTATCACTGCGTCCTCCATGTTTTTGATTTTTATCCCATAATTTCGTGGCAGTGGGGTGGAGGAGTTTGAACTCGTGCAGCGTCGCCGCCGCCACCACCGGCGGCGGCTGGTGTCGGGATCGATTTGGTTAGGCGATAATTTCAAAAGAACACTTTATTTATACACGCACACACACAATGCATAATACCTACTCGGACACGAACTTACGCCTGCGCGAGTCGCTCGTAATAATAATAAGCCCCCCCCCGGGGTGCACACAGGTCGGTTTACGATACTACCCAGACACCGGGGCTCTGCGACCCCGACGTCGCGGGCGAGGGGAACGCGCGCGCCCTCTGAATTAGTTATACCTTGTTTACACAACAATTCCCTTTTTAAGGGTGGCACACGCAACTCCACCACAATTTCCCACTGGACCACACGACTATACGGCGCTCTGGAGGGGGTGTTTCACCCGGGGATTTAAATTAATTTGCCCGGAGGTCGTTTGGTTTCTCGGCTATAGATGTTTTATTGGCACCCGGATTTGCCGTGTTAGACACCCGGCCGCAGTGGCGGTGCACTATACACACACCAGCTAAGGATCATATATAATATATATATATACATACGTGTAAGAGAGCAATACACAATTAAGTGCCTGCCATGTACATATTATGCTCGTGTGTATATACAAGGAATTTTCCCGTCGCCAGCGTACATAGTCATCACTACCCCCGCGGCCGGAGAATCGAAATAATAATACGACGCAGTTTATACTCTGTAAAAACAACATCGCACCTATATATAGGTTATAACCTAGCGAACGTCTCGGCGCGGCTTATTACGTTTGTGGGGACTTGTGGTAATAATATAATTTTATTACCGTCCAAGGAGAATATATACCGACATTCCGCGCACTATTTCGGAGCCATCTCGACGTCCCCTGCAAGTAGGTGTATATATTATTATACACACAAAGTGTTAATAAGGTCTGCACGACAGTCACAATATTGACGGCCGAGCGATGTATATTATGGTAGGGCGAAAACACACACATTGCAGGACTATATATTGGGTATATGGTTGAGAAATAAATTGTCCTATATGTTGCAGAGAGATTTGGAAGAGCGATCTACTCGAGAGTACCTATATAGGTATTATATATGTATAGTCATATACATTATTTTATTGTTGTGGACGTTTTATTTTTATTATTCTAGACCGACGTTTGGGTGAACTTCTCGAATCCATTTTTTAGTAGATAGTATTTTACATTTTCATTCGAACCGACCCGTTCGTAACGAAATTTGAAAGGACCCTAATATAATATGTAAACGTTTGAATCGCCAATAATAATATATTATAGTATCGGTCAGAAGATGCGATTATATTATAAGTACATAATATATAAGCGGTTGGCAGCCGCAGAACACGTGGCGCATTAAATTCTGCAAACGAGCGCGCAAATTAAACGATATTATTTACGATTTGGTTTAGATTTAATTACGCGAAAAATTATTATTCGTTTCACACACACACACGACCAGTACACACTAACCTAACCAAGAGTGCACCAAGCATGGTCGTCGTAATTCACATATTTTGGATTTTGGCCATTTTTTCACGTTCTTTGGTGCATTCTTTCACAGATATACCATTAATTCACTCGGCGTACACCCCATATACCGAAACGCAATAGTACGACGAATCACATTCTGAATATAATATTGAACGACGAAAAAAGTAAGTTCCCGATACGCATAATATACTACTATAATGTAATATAATATATAAACGGATAAATATTGCACATATAGTGACATTTTATTTAAAAATTCACGAAATTATGTAACTGTTTAGAGAGAAAAAAATATATGAAATCATAATAATAATAATAATAATCAAGTCGATGGCTTTGAAATTACGCGACGGTTGAAAAATTAGTGAACACTATTCATATTATAATAACGTTAAGGTTCCATAATTACATTTTGGTAATTTGGTCTCGTATATATACGTATACATGGTTTGTTAGCAATATTGTACCGTTTAATTAAAAACTTTCAAAGCGCAATAAGGAAACGAGGGTTGAAAGCACTTCTTGGGCCATTCAAGTGACGGCGTCGTCGCCGAGGGGCGAAGAAAATATTATACGCTCCGCCGATTGAGACAAATAATACGAATTTCGTCGGTTGAAATTGGAAATTCGATAAACTCGAAAATATATAAAAAAAATTCTTAGTATTTACAGTAATATCATTAGAGAAACGACGAAATTTATTATAACACATACAAATGTTGCTCTGTATAGGTAGGTACCTATACATACCTATACTTATACTGTCTACTGAGATAAAATATATAAACAAATTAAGTTTATAGCTACATAAAGATAATAACGTTAGATAAATACCAAAATTATATTTGATACATTTTTCGGTAAAAATTATAAAAATGAAAATAGGAACACCACTATTTTGTTTGAACTGTACATAGCTGGAATATTTTATACGTTCGATTTGAAAAATATTACATAGATCTGCGAGTGTATAGTTTGCAGGGCTACATTGTTCGTCTTTGAAAAACACAATAGATATAAAGTAATAGTAATATTATATATTATAATACTGTTGCATTGGGTATGACTTCGAAGAAAAAATGCAGATTACCTATCAAGTTAATTTTTTAACCTACTTGCTAAACTAAAATATTTAAGCAAATTACGTTTTTATCTATACATAACGATAATTACGTTGGATAAATTGAATTACTTATAATTTTAATGAAATGCCTAAATCATTGATACGCATTTGTCCGATAAATATGAAAATATATGTGGGCAAACGATTTTGTTTGAAATGGATATGATTATATTATAATACGTTTGATCTGAGAGATATTAAAGTGACCTATATCAAATGCAGTTTGCACTCGCTTGCATCGTTTATCTTGGCTATAAGATATTATAATATTGTTGCTTTGGGTTTGAATTCAAAGAAAAAAAATGTGATTATAAGCTTATAACTTTTTAACCTACTATAATTGAGATAAAATATAAAAGCAAATTACGCATTTATCTACTTAAAGGTAATTACGTTAAATAAATATTTTTTTTTTTTTAAGAAATTCCAAAATGGTATCAATCGACTAACAAATTTGTCCGATAAAAATGAAAATATATGTGGACAAAACGATTTCGTTTGAACGTTTTGGGGTTATATTATTATAATAATTAATACTTATATTTGATATGAGAGATATTTCTATATGCAGGTATACCTGCAAGTTCACAAGAATTGC